AAAGGGTGTTGACAAGGAGCTGTCTTGGTTGTTCTTATCGGAGATGAACTTTAGGGTCACTCTCAGTCTCCAAGACCCCCACTAGGTCTCCCATCCTGAACCTACACTGGACACACGTGGAAAATCTTAGTCACTTCCACATTAGAGTCTCCGATCTGCAGGCCAGAACCCTCACGTGCAGAGAAAGGCATCTCCATGTTCACAGCCACCCAGTCACAGGATACCACACACACACACACACACACACACACACACACACTCACACTCTGCAGTCACCCAGAGACATGCAACTCACAGTGTCAGACACAGCCCCACGCTCACATTCACCCATTGTGCTCCTGTGCACACACACAGTCATAAAGACATCCGCACAGTCTCGCTCTCCTGCCCTCACTCACGCACTAGTTCACCACAGCCAGCTGTCCACCCTTCACCCCACACAGTCACATTGTCTCAGCAGAGGTCACTCTCAAGCAGGCACCATCACACCTACTTTGATTACACTGGCCCAGGGTCAACACACACCTCCCCACAAGGATCTCACACTTCACAGTCCCAGGGTCGCTGGACACACTCAGGAAACCAGGAACAACACAACAGCACACATTATCATCTCACACAACCTCCCGCTGTGTCCTCCTTCCTCTCTGTGACCTGGGTGGTTGAAGACTGTGCCCTTTCTCCTCACCTGCTGCATTGTTGAATCTTCCCCAAGTGGCTCTTCCCGATGGTGTCCAGTCTTCTGTGTGAACCTCTTGGAGTTGCAGGATATAAATGATGCCTTGCAGCCTGGTCCTCTGACTTCCTTCCTGTTTCTAAGTCCCTCCCAGCAAACTTCTTAGCAGGGTCAGAGGATGAGGTGGAGTGGTGGGGTGGGAGGGAGGTCAGACTAACCCATAATCACGCCCGCAGGCCTCTCACCAAGCCTTCCTCCCACAGTGGAATCCCCCCAGAAGACACGCTTTATTCTAATCAACACAAAGGCAAAGAAGTGGCAAGACCCTTAGCGCTGGAAGAATCCTCCTCTTTTCTTTTCCAGAGGTTCTGGGAGAGAATAGAAATTGACCCTCAGCAGGACCCAGAGAGGTAGAGCAATCCATCTCCACCCTAGACTATTCCCCTTGGGTGGGCCAAGGCCAACTGCCGCAGGTGAGGGGCTCAGACTCTGTACTCTCACACACCTGGGCTCCAGTTACACCTCCTACTTTCTAACCATGAGTCCAGGTGCTTGTGAAGCTTCTGAGTCCCTGCTTCTCCGTTAGACTCTGGGACAAATGTGAGATCCTCACGCTCTAGTCCATGATTTGTGTGCACCTTAGCTCTAGGCCTGTCCTCAGTCACCTGCTGCAGGTACAGGTGAGAGGACATTAGGCTTAATGCAGGGTTTACTATCCTGAGAGTGCTTCTCCTTCTCCCCCTGTCCACTCATCCCTGGTAACCACCAATGAGTGTTGGTCTGTGTATATATATCTTTGTCTTCTTATAAAAGTAAGATCGTACAATATTTGTCCCTTTGTAATTTACTTATTTCACTCAGCCTAATGTCCTCTAGATTCATCCATGTTATGTTTTGAGGACTCATCATTATTGTTTACGACTGCATAGTATTCCACTAGTATGTATGTACCACATTTGTTTATCCATTCTTCCATTATTGGTCACTGAGGTT